TTTCATAGAGGGGTTTTGCGAGTTTAGCAAACTTAGGGATCCATAGTCAGCAGTTATCCTACAGCTCCCAAGAATTCCCGGACCTGCCTTTTGCTTCCTGGGGCCGGGATGCCTTTTATGGCCCGAATGTGCTGGGTAGTCGGGGATGTTTTTGCTGGTGGAGTTTTTCATCTGGTGCTGGTTTCTCTTTTCCCTGTTGGCTGCTTGGGTTTAACTTCCAGTAAAGGTGCTGCTACTACTTTGGCCATCTTTTTGGTTTGTTGGTCTTCAGGCGAGTTCCTGCTATTATAGACCTTCTGGGCTACCTCGGTTAACTCTGATAAACTTTTCTCTTCAAATCTTTCAATTTTCTGCAATTTTTTTCTTATATCAGGGGCTGACTGGGAGACAAAGGCTATAACTAAAGCCCTCCGATTTTCTGGAGCCTCTGGGTCTATGGGAGTATACGCCCGATAGGCCTCCATAAGGCGTTCCAGAAAAGCCGTGGGAGATTCCTGTGGGCCCTGAGTTACCTCACTTACCTTAGACAAATTTGTGGGCCTCCTGGTGGCGGCCTGGAAACCCCCCATGAGAGTTCGGTGATAGGTGGTGAGACACTCCCTACCGTGATTGGTGTTCAGGTTCCAATTAGGCCTCTCAGCAGGGAAGACATGGTCCACAGGGTCCTGCTCTGTCAGTCTGCCGTCCAGTTCCAGGACCAATTTTCTTGCCTCCTGACGGATTCGTTCTCTTTCCTCCACAGCAAAAAGGGCTTGGAGGAGCTGTTGGCAGCCATCCCAAGTGGGCTGGTGGGTGAAGAAAATAGTTTCTAAAAGGCCTATGAGGCGCTGAAGTTTTCTAGCGAACGTCAGATTTTGGTGCTTCCAATTGTAAAGATCTCCAGTAGAGAAAGGGACATAAACCATAAAGGGCTGGCCCCCCGAACCTCCTGCGTCTAGTCCCGGGGCCTGTCTCAGGGGGAGGACCGTGGAAGTTTGTGGTTCTGAGTTCCCCGAAGACGAGTCGGGGCTAGTCGGTTTATCGGGGGCAGTTGGGCCCTCGGGAGACGCCTGGGGAAGAGGGGGATACAGGGGCTGATATGAGGACCCTCTCCTGGTGAGTGACGGGCTGAGGACCTTGTGGGCCCCCTGCTCCCGCTCAGATGTAGAGTAGGGCGGGGGAATTCCATCATCCTCCAGTGGGCTCTGGAGGACCGGAGGTTTGGCTTTTGGAGTTTCCTGTAGGGCTGAAACACGAGAAGAATTAGCTCTCTTTTCGGCTTTCTTCAGCCATGATGGCTGCTGCATTACCAGTGACGTACGGGATCTGGTCTGGGTGGCATTGATAGACGAACTGTCGGACCTTCCCCACTATGGCAGGGTTGAAGGTCACCTCTGGCGGTCAGCTGCAATGAGGAAATGTGGGCCATTTGAGGGAACAGAGGTGGTTAGGTTTCCCTGGTTTACCTGATAACCCAACTGCTGTGCCGCTCCTTGGAAATCCTTGAAGTGGCACAAAACCAGTTGCAGAGGAGTGTCAGGCTTAGAGCACTGCTGTCCCATAATATCGACAGCTGTGACAGACACAACAGTGACTAACACTGAACAAATACAGGCAATAACACAAACTGAACAGACAGACCTAACTGCCCGAGGGCAATACCGGAGGACCCAGTGACGTTTCACTGGGACCTCAGACCCAGGAATTAGCGCTGCATCCAGCTTTCCTGCGGGTCCAACCAGAAGTGTGCACAAACAGAACGGGAACTTGACTCACCTCTCAGAGGGCTCTGGGGACATTGTGAGTCTGCCAGAGACGACAGTCACCCATTTGTGAGTCCACAGACTCACCAGGCCTGACGAACAGTGAGGTTCGCGGGTACGCACACCCACAAGGTCAGCTGGTGATTGGGGCTGGGGATTAAGCTCTCGGATATCCTGGACGAGCTCCCAAATGAAATAGGGACTGAGTGCTTAATTCACAGACACCAACACCAAAAGTACAAGTTATAAAAAGGAGAGGTTTATTAGCCAGGTGCCAGGCCGGCAGCCACTTGCCTACTGGACATGCCAGTCCCACAACAAGGGCCCCCATTTGCTGTAGGGGCTTGCTTAAATGGGGCAAAACTGCACTGGGACTTTCCACGTGGACCAAACCGCAACATCCTGGAGGCCTAGGTATTTTTCAAGCAATGCTAGCAGGGTTCACAGAAGCGAAAAAAAAGCTGTTAAATAGTTTAACCCAGCCAGCTGATGCTGTTGCCAGTTTCCAGGAAGGGAACTTTTTAAACCTGTGTTGCCTTGTAGTCTCAATTGTGTAATTGCTTCAGTTTTATGGGATCTATGAGCTTTGTACTTATGTGTGCTTTTATGGTAGCAAGTAATGTTCTTTCATTTCCATGTTTAAAACTCCTTTGAACACTTCTTGTGAGTTGGTCTGGTGGCAATGCATTCCCTTAGTGTTTGCTTGTCTGGAAAAGACTGTTTTGCCTTCATTTATGAAACTTAGTTTGGTGGGATATGACCTTCTTGGTTGGCTTTTTTCTTTAAAGAAAGCTAAAAATAGGGCCTTGATCTCTTTTGGCTTCTAAAATTTCTGCTGAGCCAAATATTTTAAAATATCTTGCTTAATCCTATTAATTTGTTTTGCATTCTCTTACTATTATTGCTTTAGTTGTAACTCCAGGGATTGCAACATTGTCCTTACTATATATAGTCTAATAACATGATTATGTTACCACTTTTTTGATAATGCTAGGACCTTAGCACACTTTCTCTCATTTACCCCTCGACTTTTTGTGTTATTTTCCTTTGTTGTTGTGTTGTTGTTTTGAGTTGGAGTCTCACTTGGTCGTCCGGACTGGAGTGCAGTGGCCGCTCCCGGCTACCACAGCCTCGCCTGCTGGGCTCCAGCGATCCTTCCACCTCAGCCTTCCGAGTAGCCAGAATTACAGGCATGCGCTACCACGCCCGGCTGATTTTTTGATTTATTATAGAGATGAGGTCTTGCTGCCCAGTCGGGTCTCGAACCCGCAGGCTCAGGCAATCCACTCATCTCAGCCTCCCAAAGGCGTGGGATTATAGGCTGAGCCACCGAGCCTGGCTTGTCCTTTGTTTTAATTTTACATTTATTTTATTTTTGTGTTGGTGTCTCACTGTTGCCAAGCTGGAGTGCAGTGACACATTCACAGCTACCACAGGCTCTACCTGCTGGGCTCATGCAGTCCTTCTGCCCCAGCCTTCCAGGTAGCTGGAACTCAGGCACATGCCACCACATCTGGCTAATTTTTTAAATTTTTTGTGGAGACGAGGTCTTGCTAAATTGCCAAGGATGGTCTTGAATCCCTGGGCTCCAGCAGTCTTCTTGGCTCTACCTCCCAAAGTGCTGGAATTACAGGCATGACCCATTGTTCCTGGCTTATTTTTGCATATGTTTTAAACCCACAAGATATGGTTACTCTTGCTTTGTGGAGTTAATGTGTCATTTATATTTACCCCCACAGTTGCGCCGTTCCATTGCCTTTCATCGTTTCCTGCATTTCTCTCTGGGACTGTTTTTCTCTTGCTTGAGAAACTCTTGTGTTATTTATCTTAGTGCCAGTCTGCTGGTCATAAGTCTCTCTGTTTTTGCTGTTTGAAAATACCTTTTATCACTTTCACTATCGAATGATACTTTTTAAAACTAGGAATAGAATTCTTTTTTTTTTTTTTTTTTTTGAGTTGGAGTCTCACTCTGTCACCCAGACTGGAGTGCAGTGGCTGCTCCCAGCCACCACAGCCTCGACCTACTGGGCTCCAGCGATCCTTCTGCCTCAGCCTTCCAAGTAGCTGGAATTACAGGAATGCACTACCATGCCCGGCTGATTTTTTGATTTATTGTAGAGATGAGGTCTCACTGCCCAGGAGGGTCTCGAATCCGCGGGCTCAGCCAATCCACTCACCTCAGCCTCCCAAAGGCGCAGGATTACAGGCTGAGCCACCGAACCCAGCTAGGAATAGAATTCTAAGTTGCAAATTTTCTTTCAGCACTTTTTACATTCCATTGTTTTCTGATTTCCATATTTTATTTTGAAAAACCAGCTGTTAGTCTTAGTGCTGTTCTTTAAAAAGCAATGTCATTTTTCTCTGATCCTAAGAGTTTTTCTTGTGTGTAGTTTTCTACCAGTTTGACTGATTTGCATACTGTCTAGTGCTGTGCAACAACTTGTATCAGTCTTCTGAAGTGTTGCACCTAGGTTGTTACTATCTGTTACTTTCCTCCTCTTAATCATATGTAATCTAACTGGGGCAAATACCTGAAAGCAGAAAACACGAGTCTTTGAAGGTGGTGGACTTAGCCAAGCAGAGTTGAGAGGGAGCCTCAATGGCCCTGAGGGAAGAGAAATGGAGGGTGCAGCTGCTTGGTGACGTACTCTTTTTCAAATGGCTTCTGAGAGTTCTCCATATGCTTTTCAACAATTTCCGTTTGACTAGGGCTTGCTTGAGGAAATGTCTTTACTTTTAAATAAATTAACTTGGGAAAAAAACTCAATTGTTTCCAGAAAACTTGACACATATTAGGCACTCAATAAGTGGTAGCTGCTGTTGCTATTGTTAGTTGGATCTTAAAGGGAATAAAAAGCTGATTCTTAGGATTTTATAGCCATAGCAGTGGGATGGGCCACATGTTTTAGGGAGCTCACTAGATTTAATGCAGATTTAGTACTTTGAACGATGGTCACCATATGCTTGTGAATGGACATGCTTGTGGTTTAAGTTGCTGGAAAAGCATTTGTCTCATTTTACTTATATTTCTCTTCTTTGTTACTTCTAAACCCTTATTATCTTTCATGAAAAGGAGAAAGTCTAGGAAATGTAGAGAAATAGATAATGATTAAATAGAGAACACTATGAGTACCAAACGCTTTTGCTTTGAGTATTAAAATATTAGATTTTTTAAAATGTTCTTAAATTGGTAAAGGAGTAATTATTTGATTTTAAGACAAATGAATAACTGAACTACTTTTTGTATCCCTTATATAGGTTCTCCAAGGACATAAAACTTTCCTGAATGATGCTTATAATTGGGAGTTTTTGATCTGGGAATCAGCTTTGCTACTTTTCCTGCTGCGCCTGGCCTCATTGGGGTCTGAAACTAACAAGAAATACAGCAATGTTTCGATATTGCTGACTGAACAGGTATTAACTGATCCTGTCAATTTGGCTCACTGCTGAGGAGTGGCTGAATGTTCTGTAAAATGTATGTGGAGGATTCAGGGCCGAATCACCATCGAACTGTCACTTTCTAGCTGCATAACTGACCACACACGTCACTTTTCTGCTCTGTAATTGCTAATTCCTGACAAAAGGGATAAAATATCTTTACCTGCTTCAGGATTGTGAGAACTCAGAGCTAAGGCATCAGAAAACTTTGTATACTATAAAGGTATCTTTATTGGTAGCAATGGCTGCTTTTAATCTCATATTCCACATCAAGGATTAGATCCTTATGATACTTGTCATTTAATATGTAGAAAAAGCCTTTTGAATTCCTCTGTATCAGCTATAGAATACATTATTTAGTATTTGGAAAATACTTATTTTTCAGTATGTGAGAAATGTTTCTTGTAACTACTGAGTATAATAGTACTTTTTTAATTTCACATTTATTCAAAAACTTTAAATAAACACATTTATCATTAGTTATTTTTGCCTTCAAATCAGAGTAGAGAATTCTTCTATAAGGGAAAAAATAAAGAATTAGTAAATTAAAAGTAGTTATCTTTTTCCATTTCATAAATGTTTAATAAGGATGTTAGATTATCTGGGGTATAGTGAGATGAATAAGATATAGCCTTTGAACTCATGGAGTTTACATGCTAATTACTGTTATATTACAATTAATATTAAAATCTCTTGTCATTTTTTGTTTGTTTTGTTTTTGAGATGAGGTGTCACTCTGTCACCCAGGCTGGAGTGCAGTGGCATGAGCACAGTGTACTGCAGTCTTGAACTCCTGGGCTCAAGGGATCCTTCTCCTTCAGCCTCTCAAGTAGCTAGGACTCTAGGCACGTGCCACCACGCTTGCCTAGTTTTAGAGCAGTTTTTAAAAGATGGGGTCTCACTGTTGCCCAGGCTGGTCTTGAACTCCTGGCCTCAGGTGGTCCTCCCATCCCAGTCTCATTGCTTTGATATTTAAATCACTTCATCATTAATTACTTTTTCTTACTAAGTAGCTTTTCTTTGGTGAAGGGAGACTGATTAGGGATGGTGGGACTAGAGCACGTGACGTGTTTTCTGTAAAAATAGCTACTGGGTTTCAAAATTTATTTCCCTTGAAAACATGACCCTTGGAATCTGCGAGATTTCATGCAGTGTATGTATCATACATAATTTTTCTGTGAAATTCACTTTACTCTCTATCCTTTCCTTAGATTAATTTATATCTTAAGATGGAAAAAAAGCCAAATAAGAAAGAACAGCTCACTCTAGTAAACAATGTATTAAAGCTATCCACCAAGTTGTTGAAAGTAAGTCACATCCGATGACACACTTTTACTACCCTTTAGATTAAATCAGCTTCTTCTCTAAGAAAATATCAAATGGCAGGTGACACCTGGGGTGGGGGAGGTGGCCCAGGCGAGGTGGAGCTGCAGCCGTGGTGCCAGGACAGCTTGCGGCGGTGGTTACGACCAGAGCTCCTGGGGAGGAGCCGAGGACCGAGAGTGGCTCCTGCCACAGGCGGGCCTCCTGGGCACGGGAGGCTCGGGCCCTGGAGGAGAACTGCCTCTTCTCCCTGCCCACTGAGGACCAGGTTCTAGGGCTTCTGTCACCGGGGTCTCTGTTGGTCTGGGTGTTTGTGTCCCAAGGAGGGGTGGCGCGCCATCTGTGGGGCTGCAGTCATTGTCATCCTCTCCGTTGTCCCCATGGAGGGAAGCTGCTGGGAGAGAAAGGTTGGTGAGGCCCACGCCCCCCTGCAAGGGGACCAGCTGGCTGCGGGTCTGTGCTGGTGGCCTCATCCTGCCCCCGAGGCGCTGGCATCATCGTGCCCAGAATGCTGCTGCTGGCTGGTGTCCTCCGCTGCTACACCTCGGCAGCTTGGTCAAGGCCACCTTTGATGTCGTCACAGCTGTCTCACCCCATCTCTGGAAAGGGACATGTTCACCAAGGCTCCCTGCCAGGATGTAGCGAGCCCAGGCTGCCACTGTGGCTACTATGTAGCGTTTTTAGACCAGAGAAATAAAAAATAGCAAGAAGTCACTGAATAGCTGTTGAGAACACAAGTACCTCATTTCTATTCTTTCACGCTCTTTGTAGGAGCTGGACACACCATTTCGACTCTACGGACTGACAATGAACCCCTTGATCTACAATATCACAAGAGTCGTTATCCTTTCTGCTGTCTCAGGTGTTATAAGTGATCTTCTAGGGTTTAACATCAGAGTAAGTATGACCACCACTCTGTAGCATCGTAGTCTTTTTTATTTTTAATTTTTTATTTATTTTTATTTTTTGAGTTGGAGTCTCACTCGGTCGCCCAGACTGGAGTGCAGCGGCCGCTCCCGGCCACCACAGCCTCAACCTGCTGGGCTCCCGCGATCCTTCCACCTCAGCCTTCCAAGGAGCTGGAACTACAGGCGCGTGCTATCACGCCCGGCTAATTTTTTGATTTATTGTAGAGATGAGGTCTTGCCAAGTTGCCCAGGCGGGTCTCGAACCTGTGGGCTCAGGCAATCCACTCACCTCAGCCTCCCAAAGGCGCGGGATTACAGGCTGAGCCACTGAGCCCGGCTTATTTTTAATTTTAAAGGTGTGGGGTACAATTCAGGGTCAGGGACACAAATGTTCACCAGGCAGGCACCCTTGCTGATGCGGCGTGCCCTGCCCTGGCAGTTTCTCACTTCTGTCAATCCCTTTGCTATAGTACTGCGATAGTAGTTCAGGGTCTGCTTATAAATGAGAATGTGTGATACTCAGTTCTTGTTTCTGTGATAGGTCTCTCCGTAGTATAGTCTCCAAGTCCACCCAAGTTGCTGAAGTTCATAATTTTGTCCTTCTTTGTGGCTGTGTAATATTCCAACGTGTATGTGTTGCTTTTATTTTAATCCAGTCCTCTTTCGATGGGCAGCATGGTTGGTTCCATGTTCTTGCTTTTGTGAGCAAGTCTCATAGTCTTAAAAATTCTTATGTAGGGCAACCTTCTCGGATCCCCTCCCACTGCGGGAGCTTTCCTCTCCTCTCAATAAATCCTGCCATCTAAAAAAACCCAAAATTCTCACGTATAGCAACCTGCGCTCTTCACACTCTGTGTGTGTGTGTTACGTGTAAGACTAGTTTGGGAATAACTGCTGGCGTAAAGCAGCAGGCATCTGGATGGGGTCCACAGACTTCTCAGCGTAAGTTTGCTCATTGCACGCAAGTACAATAGACTGTTCTCTTGAATGGAACAAAAAGTCTTGTTGGAATTTCATCCATAGCATGAGCTGGGTAAAGGCCTTACTCTGATCTAGGGACTATACAAGAGGTAGAATGAATGAAAATCAATCACACACGAATTGCAGTGTGTTATTTTTGGTCCTGGAAGTCCTGAGAACTTTCTCTATGACGATCTGTGGTTGCTGTTGCCAGACTTGACATTTTTCATGTGTAAAGTGTTCTTGGTTCATAGTCAGGTGTCTAGAAATCCCACCTGTTTGCCTGAAAACTAACTTATTTTGGCGATTTTCTTTTTTTAGCTGTGGAAGATTAAATCATAAGCCGGGTGAAAAGCATGGACTCTCCCTGGCTGGCATCAGTACTTGCCCATCAAGGAAGGAGATGACTGCAGAAACCAGGGAGATGCCCACCTGCTAGTTTACCTGCACAGGTGTTCTCGGCCCTGCCACACTGAACGATGGCGTTCCCAGAGGAGCAAGTCCTTTTCCAACTAGATGTGCACATTACAAACCTGCGTTTTCATGGTTTTCAAATAATATGAATGGTCGGCTGACTAAAAAGACTGTGTGTGTGACAGTAACACAAGGACAGTTTTCCGAGTTAGGAAATTTAAATTCTGAGCCCTTCCGTGCTGTTACAGGTATATTTACTAGGAAATAGTCTTTTGGGTAACTATGGTAGAAGCCCAAAGCATGAAGCAAATATCTTTTATTGGAAATATGCAAATTCAGTACTTTTCTATTACAGTCTATAGAACTGGAGATTTCACTTCTCTATCAAAGAGAGATCAAACAAGCTATTTTAGGCTGAATCCAAATAAAAGAACTTACTGGATAATTTCAGTTTCTAGTTTTTTTGTTGTTGTTGAAGGAAGAAAACCTATTAAACTGTGAGTTTCTGCTAAGCTGTGGAGAAATTTTTAATTAGTTTATAATTTTGAGTTACTCCTAATAACTGTGTCATTGTTGGTAAAATCATGCATACAATATCCCCTAAACTCACCATAAGAAACTTAAGTATATGCCCACTCACCCATGTCCATAATACAGTGAGGCGTCCATATAGGTCACCTGAGCTGTGTTTAACTTGGTTTACTTTTTGTAGCTACTGGGAATTGCTATGTTGCCAACTGGTCTCCAACTCCCGGCCTCTGGCCGCCTCTCTCCTCAGCCTCCCAGTGCTGGGATCACAGCCGCCCCTCCTGGCCCAAGCTGAGCTTCTTAGCATGGTGCTGTGCCGGGAGTCACAAGCATGATTAATAGTTTATCTGTCGTGCACTTCATGTACTCGTCCCTCCGTCTGTTTTCGGCCTCTGCGTCTGTAATCAGCCCTTGAGGATGTCAGTTCTCTTACACAGCATCTCCCAGTACACACACTTGCATATAGATGTTAACGGAAACGCTAGTGTTCTACTTATAGTTCCTGCACATTAAGTTACCTGCTTTGAAGAATCCTGAGACAAATCAAAAGCCTGAACATTTGAATAAGGTTGTCTGGAGTTTTGAATGGAAATTTCGAGACTGGGTTATTACCTGTAAAGCATGTACTCATTCAGAATCAGGTATCAGTTACATGTATCCCAATAATTAGGAATATCTGTGGGGTTTCAAGATGGATTTCTCAAGGGTCCAAGAATTGAGGTCACACCTTTCTGGGGTTGAATTCTTGGCCCTACTACTTTTAGCTTTGTAATTTGGAGCAAGTTAATCTCTCTCAATCTCAATTTCCTCACCTGTTCAATGGAGCAATCACTGTATAATAGGCTTGTTGAGCTTAAGTGAGTTTATATCATGTCAGGTACCTGTGTAGTGTAAAGCATCTAGCTCTTAGTAAACCCACAATAAACATTTGTTATTGCTACCTTACTGAAGTCCTTTTTAAAAATCTCGCTGATGAAGACACAGGAAGCAAGGTTGCTGAGCTAGAAGTAGATTACCAAAAATACACAGCATCTAACTGATGCATGAGTTACCCTTTTCTTTTTTTGTTTTGTGTTTTTTTTTTTTTTTTGAGTTGGA